CAAAGCACACATTAAATATGTCTTGAATACACGTATAACACAATACACATTAAATATGTCTTGAATACACGTATAACACAATACACATTAAATATGTCTTGAATACACGTATAACACAATACACATTAAATATGACTTGAATATACGTATAATACAGTACACATTAAATATGTCTTGAATACACGTATAACACAGTACACATTCAATATGTCTTGAATACACGTATAACACAATACACATTAAATATGATCTTGAATACACGTATAACACAGTACACATTAAATATGTCTTGAATACACGTATAACACAGAACATATTAAATATGTCTTGAATACACGTATAACTCAGAACATATTAAATATGACTTGAATACACGTATAATACAGTACACATTAAATATATCTTGAATACACGTATAACACAGCATACATTAAATATGTCTTGAACATACGTATAACACAGCACACATTAAATATGTCTTGAATACACGTATAACACAGTACACATTATTCGCGGTGAAGTGGAGCAGTCCTTGATAGTATTTGTTTGTGATTAAGCTCGAAGCTACACAATGGGCTTCCCACACTTTGCCCATCGTGAGTTTCTAATCCAAATTCTTAGCGTTATAAGCCCTCCAGCTTACATTTGAGCCATTGGAACCTGTGTTCTTTTGTGATATTTATTTTTTAATTTGTTAAAATTTTCAATACACTCAAATCAATGTTTGTTTGTTTGTAAGTAAGCACAAAGCTACATAATGGGCTATCTGTGCTCTGCCCACTCAAATCAACACTACAGGACTTTTGTATTTCTTTAACTGCACAAATAACACACAAAAATGCACGTACGAAACTTATTACGGATTTACTTGATAAATCATAAAAAGTACTTGCGACATTCAATTATAAACCAAAAATATAAATAAGTAAAATCAAAACGTAAAATAAATAAATAATCATTTTCACTTTCTTTTTTCATTTAGGGACAAGAAATACCCTAAATTTATTTCACAAAATGTAACCATTTTTCTGATGCGAAACAAAAAAAATCAACATGAACTGAGATATCTGTAGTATCTTCTAAATTGTCGAACAAACATTAACCTTATTTTGGAATTTATCACGGTTGTGTTAGAAATGCAAGTAAAAAAAATAAAAATTTTTACCAGCGAGTCTAAATTTTAAATCAAATTGTTTTTTTGCATTATCTTACGAATGAAAACAATAATCAATAAATATAAATAAAACGAATCCTGGGCAAATAATTTTACAATCAAAATGAAATTCCGAAATAAGTATACAACAAGTTATTTTTTGTATTTTCTATGAAAAACAAATGCCCTAAGTTTGAGAACAAAACTGGAACTAATGGTGAACAGACACCACGGGCCAAAGTTGTAATAACAGGAATACCTACGTTACTAAACTTTGTTGATTACCAATACGTTTCCTATGCTACTTAACGAATACAATTGCCATTGTGCAGTGTCTTCTCCCCGCCACATATAAACAAGCTTAGGATACTGAGTGATCTCTTTGCTTTCGTTATCGGAAAAACTTCAGATAAAAGTTGTAATTTTTTGATACGCGATTTTCGTTTGATTGATCGCGTTTTGTTGTCAGCATGTCAGGTTTTAGCTCACGCGGTATGTTTTAAAACAAAAGGAGAGGAAACTAAGAATTTGTGTGTAAAGATAAAGCGAGGTTTTGAAAAAGAAACAACGAGCCGTATAATCTCGCCCTGAAAGAAGACAAACTGAAAACTGAGAAAAAAGAGGGAAATAGAACGAAGAAGTTGGAAGCACATTAAGACTAGCGATACTGCCTTTGATCCGTATCGGAGAGAAAACTATGAACCATACGAATACATTCTTAATAAAAAATGTCCTTTTTTAGTTTTCATACAGTAACCTGCCAGCACTAAAATCAACCAAGCCATTCATTACCTTTGAACTATTTGCTAAGTATTTTAAGGATTAATTTCTTCTTTTTTTTGTTTCCAGTTATTTGCTAATAATTTTAAGAATAATTTCATGTTAAAATGAGCAAATCAGAAATAGTGTAAGAAAGAAAAATGGAAACTTAGTCATTTTTTTTTCATCACTCATGTATCTTCAAAAAAAATAACCCTTGATAGAAGTGTGTCTGATTGAACGGTTTAATTTTAAATGGATGATGAAAGCTAATGCAAAATACATTCCGAGAAAATGTTTTCAAAAAGCCGAACAGATTTTTACTCAATAGGTAAATACACAATACCTTTTAAAACAATTTACAATAGAGTTTAAACCACACTAACGAACAATACAAAAATAAAATGGATACTAGTTTAAAAAGATCACACGTCCTCTTCAGTCCAACATTTATCAGTCTAACGTTTATTTGGACTGAAGAGTTTGTTTTTTTTTTGTTTTTTTTTTTAATTTCGCGCAAAGCT